CTAATAAAGAAGGAAGGGAAGCTCAAAGAAACAAGGGTGTGCTTTAATATATTTGGGGATTTTAAAAATAAAAAAATATATATAACAATGGACCACACTGATAAACTATCTAATTAAAACTAAGTTTTCTTATTGAATTGTTGACTATATTTATATTTTGATGGTATTTTCAGTGATTTTTAGCAGATTAAATAAACTAATATTTGGTGATGGTTGAAAAGCTCAGAAGAAATTCTGATCATATTTATATTGATAATATGGTTTTTTCTAGTTAACACCTTCTATATTTCTGACTTGTTCTTACTTAAGGGAATTGTAAGTCTACTTAAGTCTCTAAATTGTTGTATTGTTAAAGCATCTTTGCTTGAGAAATGTGAGAAAATGTGTTCTTCATATGCAAAGCTATTGATACAGCATCAGTTAGGAAATATGTTTTCACTTATTATTTTTTTAGTATTCATAATATTTATATTTTCTTCCATCTGCTTCACCTAGTTCTCTTGGAAACCAATAACATCTCTCTCCCTCTCCCCCTCATTTCTTTTTTGCTACCCCATATCCTTACCTCATTTCCTTAATAGATTTGGTGCCAATGGGTAGAAAGAACAAGATAAGTCATGTAAAGCAACGCTTTACTCCCTTGAAAAGCTTTTTTACTTTGGTCTTCCTGAAAAAAAAAAAAAAGCTACTTTTTGGTCTGCTTCAGTTTTTGTTTCTATCATGGTATCATCATTTGCTCAGTACGTGAACAACATTCCTCAGTTATTAGGACCACTGGAAATTTTGGGAGGGAAAATAAGTTCAATGTAAAATAAAAGCACATTACAAAAAATCTGAGAAATCTGTCACTCAGTCTACAAATATTCATTGAGAGAACACTATATATCATGCTGGAGATACAGTGGTGACAGAGAAACTGAGCATAAACTACCAAATAGAGAAAGAAGATGGAAGATTTGATAGTGACTGGTGTGTGTGGGGGGAGGGGAGGTGTGCGTGCGCACGCACATGTATGCACATACACATGACAATCAAAGTTCCTTAGTTTCTCATTATTCAAATGAAGAGTTCAATTAGATGGTATCTAAGGTGACTTCAGATCTTTTCTTAACATGCAACTTTTCTCATTTTGTTCAGTGTTTTTTTAGATTATTTCATTATTCCAATCATGTGGTCTGTTGTCTATCCATATTAGTACTTAAAAATAATAATTGAAGAATGGAAAATCCACCTATCAGTATTTGAAAACAGTGTCTGAATTCTCTACTAAATAAAAACAAAAAGGAAAGCAAGCAAATATATCTGTCCACCAGAAGGTACTCAAAGGATGATTTTCATCCATGTTTCATTCACAATGTCTTTCTACTTGCCTCTTTGCACAGAGGTTTTTAGAAACTGCTACATTCTGGCTGAAAAAATGAATGACGGTGGCTTGGACAATGACATGACCAAGCTTGTAGTCAGGCATGAGGGTTCACTTTTGTGTAGCCATTTGAAGATTTGCTGGCTAAGAACAATTCCACACAGCACGTCATTGTAGGACCTCAATGATTAGTGATAGTGATGCAATTAACAGTATTTGGAGAACTATTGCATTTCTTTTTTTTTTAACCATCTGGTAAATTTTTATTATTTCTACCTCATCTTTTGCCTTCCAATCATCCTTGTGGACATATACACCTTCAGCAATTGTCCACTAACAAACTGTATGTAGAGTAAAATTTTGTATATAAACATCACAAAAGATGAAAGAATACTGTGTCACATTCATTGAACAAAATGGATGATCCAGGTTCTTGTTGCAAAATTCTGATGTTTTTTTCTCTTGATGACTAACTGCATGAGAATACCACATTTTCTTTTTGTCATTAGAAATATATTGTTCACTAACGGACTCTTGAGTTTCAGAAACTTCATGTAGGATGTCATCATCGGAAGACTCTTAGCTGAGGTTTCACCCCCATGATCCATTTCTCCATCATCATTAAAGTCTTTTTTTAAAAATCTTTATTGTTCATATTATTACAGTTGTTCCTCTTTTTCCCCCCATAGCTCCCCTCCACCCAGTTCCCACTCCACCCTTTGCACTTACCCCCCCCCACTGTCTTCATCCATAGGTGTACGATTTTTGTCCAATCTCTTCCCCCACCCCCACACCCCTTTCCCCCTGAGAATTGTCAGTCCACTCCCTTTCTATGCCCCTGATTCTATTTTATTCACCAGTTTATTCTGTTCATCAGATTTTTTTATTCACTTGATTTTTAGATTCACTTGTTGATAGATACGTATTTGTTGTTCATAATTTTTATCTTTACCTTTTTCTTCTTCTTCCTCTTCTTAAAGAATACCTTTCAGCATTTCATATAATACTGGTTTGGTGGTGATGAACTCCTTTAGCTTTTTCTTATCTGTGAAGCTCTTTATCTGACCTTCAATTCTGAATGATAGCTTAGCTGGGTAAAGTAATCTTGGTTGTAGGTTCTTGCTATTCATAACTTTGAATATTTCTTGCCACTCCCTTCT